ACAAAACAATTTTAGCTTCATCTTCTCCTAGACCGAGTTTGTGGCTGGCGACCAGACAGATGCTGTTCATTTAGCACTCGAGTGGCAATCCTCGATTTTKTGTCCTAGACACCCAGGGGGAGACCATGACATTTGGACAGAGTCAAATAAAACCTCTCTAGACCTCACACAGCGGGGAGATCTAACCTCACAACATGGTCACTGCTCTCGGATTTCAACAAGCCAAACGAGGAAATCTGTGCTGGTGAAGAAGACCCATTTTCTCTTCGGTCTGTCAAACAGAAGCCACTAATCGTGTTTCCATCCAATTACATCCAATTTAATTCGMATTTTGAGCTAATATTAATAATTTCGCAAAAAGGAAAAAAAATTAAGAAATGCGAATCAAACTGAGTTTCCATCAACTGGCTTGAAGCGAATCAATTACGTCATACGCATGCGCGTAGTAAACAGGAAGTACCCGTCGCTAAACTCGCAGGGTCCACACATCTCAGGATAATGGAGAGAAGTTATCAGGAACGCGTTGCTACTATCAGGAAAKTTGTAATTATTCTGTTATCAACTAGTTTTAGCGATGTTACTGCTGTCTGGAGACGTAGAGAAAGAAATGCAATTTTCTTCACGTTACGGGATTACTGAGAAGACGCAAACAGTGGTAGGAGGGTTATGCTGCCAGTTGCGGCTGCAGCCTACCCGAAACTGGTACCGGTACATGGGAACAGCTGATCAGCTACGCGAGGTAAATGTTCGCTACGTCTCAACTCATTCAACAAAAGTAAATCTCTCCTTTTGCACATTAAGTRTTTTTCGAAAAAACCCAAAATCCACCTCAAGCGAGCGTAAAATCTTTTTAGCGAATTGAGGATTTTTTTTTTTTATTTTGCTGTTTCCATCCGACTTTTTTTCGCATTTTTAATGCAACACTTCTAARTGCGCATCAAAAAGCCTTGATGGAAACATACTTAGTGTCTCATCCAAGTTTACATCCAACTAAAGGGTTTTAAAGTGATCGGATCTTTTGAAGTGATTCGAAAAAAACGTTATGGATTGTTATTTTACTTGATTGGCAGCACCTGGGGGGGAACCAGCTCAAAAGCAGCGTCAATAACAACAGTAAAATAGCTTTTTGGCAGAGAAGATTTGGCAAACTTTTCATGTGCGCAACCCACATACTCAGCTCTACTGCTCATCCCACAAATGCATGTTCCTTACAAATGTGGCACAATTTAAAAGGTAAAATAACACGTATTGTTAAGAAGCACTGATACAACAAAGACATAATCAAACACAAATTTTGTGCCAAAATAACAATAAACAAAACATTTTGGCCCAACTCTGACTAGCCATTAGCTTGTCAGTCTAGTCAAAATTAAGTTCCATTTCTCTGAACTGAGTTCATTCAAAGAGCTATTTACTATTGTTAGTATACTAATTGTCCATAACCTATCCACAGAACCACACTTCAACTGATCAAAGCAATTAAGAAATATTTATRGAGGTGTCAAACAGCTGTTTGATCTCCTGTATTAATGAATTAGAGTCAGGGGAAATTTGTTTTGTTGTTCTTATCAAAATGGCATGTTACGAAGCATCGTGTCAGCCCCATTCTTCCAAACGGACTTGTTTCCAGGGATATAAAAGTAAGGCCGATTTGCGACGTGCAGTCTTGTCTTTTACAAGATAGCATCCTCCTCATTACGAGTGCACTGCTTCTAACAATGACATAAAAAAAAACACTTTGCAAATAAAGGAAGCCTTTTTCCCCAGAGTTGTGCATTTGTGCATCATTGTCAGCGACGAAGACACATCGCCTCGGGAGCTCAGGATGTCACGTGCAAATAGCAAAACAGCAGCTCAGAGAGGCACTGTAAGCCACTGCAGACACAACAGTAATGTTACATAACTACAGCCAAAAACCTGCCCTTAATGCTGTGCGTGTGTGAGCTTGAGCACATGTTAGTGTTTTCTTTTATTTATTTTTTTGGATTAGGGCTCTCCCTTGAGCAGGATACCATCTTTTTTTATTGTTTACCTGCACAGTTTCTACTGGAACACAATTTCAGGAATGTCTGCTGGATAAGTGACCCATGTGATCTGATTTGAGGCCACCTAGTTTGATCTCCTCTCTGCTGGCCTGGCCTTGTAAATCGGGGTAAAATAAAAATAAAGTCTAAGCTAGCGGAGAGGATTTCTTTCCCTTTTTTTTTTTTTTTTTTACTTCAGCAAAGTGGAGTTTATTCCTCTTGCCAAACAGATCATGGTGCGAGCTGCACAAGGCTTAGTGTCCTCATGTTCCAGCATTGCTTTTTTTTCTTCTCCTCATCCCTCAACGCAGCTTTCAGCTGTGTATTTAGGTCTTCCAGCGACACCGAGTTCTGGTCCCATGCCATGCATGTCGCACAGGCCCAMTGTAGAAATGACCGCTCTTCCGCTGCCAGAGACAGCAGTGATAATCAGCAAACGACCCCGAAAATTTCTCTTTGCCCRGGCCCTGTCTAAAACCTATTAGGGCCTCCTCTAGTGCAGTGACCTAAATCAGTGCAGGCTCAAATGACGGGTTAACGAAGGAACTGAAACAGCCTCTTAAAGACGCTACGTATGTGTGCATTTCTGTGGGTATCCCATAACCACCCCAATTGAGACTTTACAGCACATATGTCAAACACAAGGCCCGCAGGGTGACTCCCGTGTGACCCGTGTGATTATTTATTTATTTATTTATTTTACTTAACATGAAATTTGTTCCTCATATCAATGGTAAACTTTAAATTTACGGTTAAATGCAACAAAATTAATTTAATAAAAATAAATGAAATAAAAATAAATTAATAAAAAATCCTGTCCCTGAATTGTTGGCTTGAAGTAACTGAGCAATTTAGTTGGATAGCACAGTACTGATGTCTGAAAATAAACTGCTTTAAAGTCACCATCAAACATAAACTAAATCTGCCATAATGCAGCTACTCACTAGAAACTCATCAGTGAGTAAAACTTTTTTTGTTTTACTTTTAATAATATTTCTGTATTTATTACAGATTTAGTCAGTCGTGCACTTAGTTCTTATCAGTGTTTAAAAGAGGACGTGTTAAAACTCTGTTTAGTCAAAGTTAAACATGAAACATCAAAGTTCATTACAAGTGGCCCTTAGAGGGCCACCATAACGCTCATGTGGCCCTCGGTGCAAATGAGTTTGACAACCCTGCTTTACAGGGAGGAAAGTTAAGCTGAGACACCCCCCGCCATCCTTTCCAACTATTCAATTTAGGACATCAGGTGCAATACAGTCTGGTGGTGTCAAAGAACAGATTCATCAGCTTTAATCAAGGATTAAAGTGGGGGAGGGGGGGGGGGGACAATTACAAAACCTTACAAAGTATTAAAATGAGCACAGGGGTTTGTTTTATAGTTATATATAGTTATTCCTGTTTTCTATCTTTCACTAAAATAAAAAATGGGCATTTAAAACAAAATAAAGAGCTTTTGGAAAATGCATGTCATAAAAACCCTTTGCTTTTATATAATAGTTTGATTCCTTTTTTTCACCATTTCACAAAAAAAAAGTCCAAGCAGTTCTATATTAATTTCATATAAAATATATTGAGAAGCTTTTTTTATGTAGACCTTGCTGAATATTAGTTAGGACCACTCACTGAGGCGTTATCATGTGATTTCTTCTTGGTCGGTGAGAGCGGCCATATTGACACAAACAAGGACAACTCAACGGACAGGAGGCTGGTGAAGCTGAATGTTAAACATGAAACGTTATATTTAGGTCAGCACATCAATGAAACTCAGTTTGCTATTGGCAATCGTTATTTTCATTTGGTAGATGTGCTTGTACATCGTATCAGGCAATATGTTGTCAAGGTACGCACATTTGCGGAGAATGATGTTTCTAATTAGTAACAGGCAGAAGAAAACCAATGAAAAAACAAATATTTATATGCAATTCTACACAGAAATCTGGCCATGACAACTTGTTTCCAATGACAGCCTGCCACTTGATGTGTGCCTCTAGTCCAGTGGTTTTCAAACTYTTTTTGCTTMCGGCCCACAAAATAACAGTTGCGGACCCTCGCGACCCCAGATATTACTTGTTCACTTGTGCAAACTTTGCTAATAACTCTGTTAAATGTGGGAATAACAACAATATAAACAAATCAAATTACTACAATACCAATTGTCATCATTTATGATTATTGTTGAAAAAAATTGCAATGACTATGGTGAAAATATTCCATTAGATTTATTTATTTATTTAAAGGAACATTGTGTAGGATTTTGTCAATTATTTTAGCCGAAATTGAGATAATCACTAATGACAATAATAAAAACATGTCTAATC